TGGAGTGGATTGTTTATTGATTTGCTCCTGTATGTGTTTTCTTTTTTGTGCACAACTGCAAATATGTGTCCGCGATCGACGTCTCAGCCACGCGTGTGTTTTTTCTATTATATGCTTCTGTTGAGCGCCCGAGCATTCCCCACTGTGGCTGAACCCACCGCCGTCCCCGACTGTCACCCGACCATGCGGGGCGGGGTGGCGTGGCAACGCTCCTTTGCCGCGGCGTGCACATACACGCGCGCATGCTTCTTCTCTCCACGTCAACGCCCGCACACCACCACAGTCTGAAGGTGACGCTGTTGAAGGCACACAAGGAAGGAAACACACCCACACAAGCAGTAATGTCTGGCTGGGCGCGTGCGCTGTTGCTCGCGGCCGTCCTGGTCGTCATGGCGTGCCTCGTCCCCGCGGCGACGGCGAGCCTGCATGCGGAGGAGACGCTGACGTCGCAATTCGCAGAATTCAAGCAGAAGCATGGCAGGGTGTACGAGAGCGCCGCGGAGGAGGCGTTCCGCCTGAGCGTGTTCAGGGAGAACCTGTTTCTTGCGAGGCTGCACGCCGCGGCAAACCCACACGCGACCTTCGGCGTCACGCCCTTCTCGGACCTCACGCGCGAGGAATTCCGGTCCCGCTACCACAACGGCGCGGCGCACTTTGCGGCGGCGCAGGAGCGCGCGAGAGTGCCGGTGAAGGTGGAGGTAGTTGGCGCGCCCGCGGCAGTGGATTGGCGTGCGAGAGGCGCCGTGACAGCCGTCAAGGACCAGGGCCAATGCGGTTCGTGCTGGGCCTTCTCCGCCATTGGCAACGTTGAGTGCCAGTGGTTTCTTGCCGGCCACCCGCTGACGAACCTGTCGGAGCAGATGCTCGTGTCGTGCGACAAAACGGACTTTGGCTGCAGTGGTGGCCTGATGAACAACGCCTTTGAGTGGATTGTGCAGGAGAATAACGGCGCCGTGTACACGGAGGACAGCTACCCTTATGCGTCGGGCGAGGGGATATCGCCGCCGTGCACGACGTCAGGCCACACGGTGGGTGCCACGATTACCGGTCACGTTGAATTACCTCAGGACGAGGCCCAAATAGCCGCATGGCTTGCAGTCAATGGCCCGGTTGCCGTTGCCGTCGACGCCAGCAGCTGGATGACCTACACGGGCGGCGTTATGACGAGCTGCGTCTCCGAGCAGCTGGATCACGGCGTTCTTCTCGTCGGCTACAATGACAGCGCCGCAGTGCCGTACTGGATCATCAAGAACTCGTGGACCACGCAGTGGGGTGAGGATGGCTACATCCGCATTGCAAAGGGCTCGAACCAGTGCCTTGTCAAGGAGGAGGCGAGCTCCGCGGTGGTCGGTGGTCCCGGGACCCACTCCCGAGCCAACCACCACGACAACCACAAGTGCCCCAGGACCGTCCCCATCGTACTTTGTGCAGATGTCCTGCACTGACGCTGCGTGCATTGTCGGGTGCGAGAACGTGACGTTACCGACCGGTCAGTGTCTCCTGACCACCAGCGGCGTCTCTGCCATTGTCACGTGCGGTGCTGAGACTCTCACAGAAGAAGTCTTCCTTACGAGTACGCACTGCAGCGGCCCCATCGGTGAGGTCCTCTGTTCCTCTCAACAAATGCAACCGGCTTTTAAGAGGCTCCGTTGAGTTCTTCTGCGGCTCCAGCTCCAGTGGCCGACTGGGCCGACGTGGACAGGCAGCGTCGCCATCAGCCATACCACAGCCGTCATCGCCCGCCTCTGAGGGCACTTCTTTGTTTCTGATGCTGCCTTTTCTCTCATTTTACTTTTTTATTATTATTGAGCGAGCGTCGGTGCTGCGGCACACTGGGCAAATAAGTCCCAGTGGAGTGGATTGTTTATTGATTTGCTCCATGTATGTGTTTTCTTTTTTGTGCACAACTGCAAATATGTGTCCGCGATCGACGTCTCAGCCACGCGTGGTGTTTTTTCTATTATATGCTTCTGTTGAGCGCCCGAGCATTCCCCACTGTGGCTGAACCCACCGCCGTCCCCGACTGTCACCCGACCATGCGGGGCGGGGTGGCGTGGCAACGCTCCTTTGCCGCGGCGTGCACATACACGCGCGCATGCTTCTTCTCTCCACGTCAACGCCCGCACACCACCACAGTCTGAAGGTGACGCTGTTGAAGGCACACAAGGAAGGAAACACACCCACACAAGCAGTAATGTCTGGCTGGGCGCGTGCGCTGTTGCTCGCGGCCGTCCTGGTCGTCATGGCGTGCCTCGTCCCCGCGGCGACGGCGAGCCTGCATGCGGAGGAGACGCTGACGTCGCAATTCGCAGAATTCAAGCAGAAGCATGGCAGGGTGTACGAGAGCGCCGCGGAGGAGGCGTTCCGCCTGAGCGTGTTCAGGGAGAACCTGTTTCTTGCGAGGCTGCACGCCGCGGCAAACCCACACGCGACCTTCGGCGTCACGCCCTTCTCGGACCTCACGCGCGAGGAATTCCGGTCCCGCTACCACAACGGCGCGGCGCACTTTGCGGCGGCGCAGGAGCGCGCGAGAGTGCCGGTGAAGGTGGAGGTAGTTGGCGCGCCCGCGGCAGTGGATTGGCGTGCGAGAGGCGCCGTGACAGCCGTCAAGGACCAGGGCCAATGCGGTTCGTGCTGGGCCTTCTCCGCCATTGGTAACGTTGAGTGCCAGTGGTTTCTTGCCGGCCACCCGCTGACGAACCTGTCGGAGCAGATGCTCGTGTCGTGCGACAAAACGGACTCTGGCTGCAGTGGTGGCCTGATGAACAACGCCTTTGAGTGGATTGTGCAGGAGAATAACGGCGCCGTGTACACGGAGGACAGCTACCCTTATGCGTCGGGCGAGGGGATATCGCCGCCGTGCACGACGTCAGGCCACACGGTGGGTGCCACGATTACCGGTCACGTTGAATTACCTCAGGACGAGGCCCAAATAGCCGCATGGCTTGCAGTCAATGGCCCGGTTGCCGTTGCCGTCGACGCCAGCAGCTGGATGACCTACACGGGCGGCGTTATGACGAGCTGCGTCTCCGAGCAGCTGGATCACGGCGTTCTTCTCGTCGGCTACAATGACAGCGCCGCAGTGCCGTACTGGATCATCAAGAACTCGTGGACCACGCAGTGGGGCGAGGAAGGCTACATCCGCATTGCAAAGGGCTTGAACCAGTGCCTTGTCAAGGAGGAGGCGAGTTCCGCTGCCAAGCATGGGTTTTTTCGTATTTTTTCTATTGTTGTGGTTTTAGTTTTGGTGTTTTGTGTTTGTGGCGTTTTTTTTTGTTTTTTTTTTTTTTTTGACGTGTTTTACTTTTTACTGGGTATTTTTCTTTCATTGTTTTTGTGTGTGTTTGTGTCTGTGTGGGTGTGCTGGCTGCTGTGCTTCCTTTGCCGTACTGCTTTTGTGATGATTATTTTTTTTTTTTTTTTTTTTTTTTGGGTGGGGGGGGGATATTTTTGTAGGTGTGAGGTTCAAGCTTAATTTTTTTTTTTTTTTTTTTTTTTTACTTTCTTTCTGTGTGTGTTTGTGTTTGTGTGTGTGTGTTGTTAGTATTTGTGTTTCTTTTGTTTTTGTAGCCAGTAGCCACGCGATTATTTCGTGCATTTCATCTTGTTTTGCCGCTCGTCCCCGTTGCCGCCATGAGCACCAGCAAGCAGCAGCCGCAGGTTGTGGGGGGACTGAAGGTCACAGAACCCGTGCGGCGGCCGCGGCATCCGCCGTGGTATCCGCCAGTGCAGAATGACGCGAAGGGCCTTCGAGTGCTGAACTCGTTGACGGAGAGCGTCGAGCCGTTTGCCCCACGTGAGGGGAGGCTGGTGCGGTGGTACGCGTGCGGGCCTACTGTCTATGAGCTTTCTCACATGGGCCATGCCCGCGCCTACCTCACCTTTGATATACTGCGTCGTATCATGGAGGACTACTTTGGGTATCAGGTGGTGTATCAGATGAACATTACTGATATTGACGATAAAATTATCAAGCGAGCACGTATTTCGGCATTGTTAAAGCGATTTCGTGAAGATTTCTTGCAGGGAAGTGACATGGCGCGGCTTGTCGCCTTTACGGCCGAAGCGGAAACGGCGGCAGTTGAGGCACTTGAGTTGGCCCGAATCAAGTTGTCAGAACCGCTGCCGGACAAAACACCAAGTCGCATTAAGGCGGAGCGTGAGGAGAAGCAGATGGAACTTGCGCTAAAGGAGTCCCAGTTGCAGAAGACAAGGGAGCGTATTGCATCGGCGACTGCCTCTGGTAACTTTGATGAACTTTTTAATGCGGCTTCTGGGATAAACGGTGATTTGCTGGATGAGCGCGAGGGACAGTATGTGACGGACCAAAGCATTTTTGAGGATCACGCGCGATTGTATGAACGTCTTTTTTTTGAGGACATGCGACGTCTCGGCGTCCGCGACCCCGACGTTGTCTCACGTGTGACGGAGTATGTACCACAGGTGGTTGACTTCATTCAGAAGATCATGGACAACGGTTTTGCATACCGTGGAACGAGTTCCATATTTTTTGACACCACCGCCTTTTTGCGTGCCGGGCACGACTACCCGAAACTGAAGCCCGTGAGTGAAAGTGGCGAGAACGACGCGACGGAGGCGGAGATGGCGGAGGGGGAGGGTGCGTTGACTGTTGGAGTTGCCGGTGAGAAGCGAAACGCCAATGATTTTGCCTTGTGGAAGTTCTCGAAGCCTGGTGAGCCGCGTTGGCCGTCGCCGTGGGGAGAGGGACGCCCTGGATGGCACATTGAGTGCTCCGTCATGGCTTCGGACATACTCGGCACGAACATCGATGTGCACAGCGGCGGTTGGGATCTGAAATTTCCCCACCACGACAACGAGTGTGCGCAGAGTGAGGCATGTCACATGCAACACCAGTGGATAAATTACTTCCTGCACTGTGGGCACTTACATATTAAGGGTCTCAAAATGAGCAAAAGCCTGAAGAACTTCATTACCATTCGGCAAGCACTTGATGAACTCGATGTAACACCACGTGTAATGCGACTGCTGTTTCTTGCAAATCACTGGGGGAAACCGATGAATTTTTCGGATCAGAGCATTGAAGAGGCAAAAGAGAGGGAACGTGTCCTACGTGCGTTCTTTGGCAGTGTCGATATTGTCTTACGGAAGGACAACTGGGGCGAGACGCAGGGCTTGAACGGCCACGACCGCCGTCTACAAGAAACGTGGTTAACGGCCGAAAACGCCGTACATGGCGCATTGCAGAATAATTTTGACACTCCCGCCGCCATGGATTCCGTCATGGGGCTCGTGGGCGCGACAAATCATTACCTCCTTAGCGGGGAGCGTCCGAGCGCGACGCTCGTGCGGAAGGTTGGCCGCTACGTCACACGCATTTTGCAGGTGTTTGGGGTGGTAGAAGGGAACGACATGGTTGGCTTTGCCACGCAGCAGGGCTCCGACGATCGGCTTCTAACGGTCATGGACGCTCTCTTGCGCTTCCGTGACGGCGTGCGTGATGCGGCCAAGGTGGAGAAGTGCACCGGGACGTTCCTGCCGCTCTGTGACGCAGTCCGCGACGAGTGGCTGGTGCCTGCGGGCATTCGCATTGAGGACAACCCTGCTGGTCCAACGACGTGGAAGAGTGACGATGTGGCTGTGCTCCAACGCGAAGTGGCAGAGCGACGGGCGCAGCAAGCAACGGAGCGGCGCACAAGGCTTGAGAATCAGATCGAGACGAAACGGAAGTTGACGGAGAAGTGGCGCCAGTACACGTGCACTCCGATAAGGTACTTTAGCACGCGAGACACAGAGGAAAAAAAGTACGCCGCCTTTGATGAAGCCACGGGGCTCCCGACGCGACGCGCGACAGGCGAGGCGTTGGGCGAGAAGGAGCAGAAGAAACTCGCAAAGGAGCTTGCGCGGTACGCGAAGGTCCACGAGGAGTTTGTTGCGAAAGGGGGCGAGGGGTGGCTGGCGGAGCAGGAGAAGGAATTGGCATCGCTTTGCCAGGCCCTCGAAAGCCTCTGACGGGCGCGTCTTGCGCCATGGCCTGCGTGCGTGCGTTTTTTGGGAGGAGGATGAAGGAAAGAGAGAAGAAAAGAAGAGCGCTGAACAAAAAGGGGGAGACGGGAGGAAACAAAATAAAGGGAATAATGTAAGGTGGGGAAGGGGAGAACAACAACACCACGGCGTTGTGTCCTCCTCGCCAGCGGCGGTGGGAGTGGTGGGGGGAGGTGACGCGGAGGGCGGCCGGAACCAGCAATAGGGTCGAAAAGAGCCGTGGGAGAAATTCCTTTGAAATAGCATGGAGGAAGAAACATAATCTTTACTCGTATCTTCCTCCCCCTGTCGCTGTGTGTGTGTGTCTGCCGCATCTGTCGGGGCCTCCCTCGCAGAGGCACATGATCCCCCTCCCCTTTCCACTGCCCGCCTGCATGTATGCGTCCTTGCTGTTGTTGTTTTGGCTGCTGTGCATCTCCCGCCCTCTCTGTCTCTTGCACTCCTTCCATGTATACGCGGATGCATTTGGGTGCGCTCCGCTTGTATGCCACCAACACCACTAGGAGGAATACACACACCTTGAGATATTTCCGCGCTAGCCCACCCGACGAGGCCACCGAAACGGAAAGAAAAAGAAAAAGGAAGGAGTGTTGGGGAGACAACATAAATACTGAGTTGGCATATATCCACACGTCTCTGAAAAGAAAGAAGAGCAATGGGCTTTGATTTTGGCTGTCTGTTAAAGCTGTGCAGCACAGTGCTGAAGCCGGGTGAAGCCCCGGGGTCAATCAACTACATGGAAATCGGACTGAACCTTATCAAGATTGCAGCCCCGTATATTGTCCAGTACCTTGGTCTTATGGAACGCCCACCGAGGGTTGATTTCGAGGAGTTCTTCCAGCAGGCGGAGGTGACGAGGGGTTTTAAGCCGTGGGAGACGAGAACCCATGTGAGCGGCACCTTTCGTGCCCTTTTCATCGGCATCAACTACTACGGCACCAGTGCCGAGCTCTCCGGCTGTTGCAATGATGTGAAACAAATAATTGCCACACTTCAGAGGAAAAGAATTCCCATCGACGAGATGAGCATACTTGTGGATGAGAGGGGGTTCCCGGGGGCCAACGGCCTCCCCACACGTGACAACATTGTGCGCTACATGGCGTGGCTTGTTAGGGGTGCAAAACCGGGTGATGTGCTCTTCATGCAGTATTCCGGTCACTGCACGCAGACCCGTGCGACGAGCGACACGGAGGAGAAATTTGATCAATGCCTTGCCCCTGTCGACTTTGCGACCGAAGGCTGCATTCTTGACAACGACGTTTTTGGAATTCTCCTCTCGGGATTGCCACAAGGAGTGCGACTCACTGTCGTATTTGACTGCTGCCACTCTGGCTCCATGCTTGACCTGCCGTACACGTTTGTGGGCAGCAGGAGTTTGCGCAGAAGCGTCGCCGGTCACATGCAGCGTATTCGCAAGGGAAACGACTGTGCCGGGGATGTGCTGATGATATCCGGTTGTGCTGACGAGCAGACGTCCGCTGACGTGAGCAACGCGGCTACATGTGGAACGTGCGCGTCAGGTGCTGGTGGGGCAGCCACACAGTGTCTGGTGCACACATTACTCAAAGTCGGTAATATGTCGTACCAAGATATGCTTATTGCCACCCGTGACATGCTGAGAAGAAAGGGATTCACTCAGGTGCCTCAGCTGAGTGCATCCAAGCCAATCAATTTACAGCAGAAGTTTTCGCTCATGACGACCTTTGAGGTGGATCCAGCCGTCGCCACATGACTTGTGGCCATTGTTTGTGGGGCTTTGGACCGCGGCCTAACTGCCTGGAAAACAGCATGTGTTTGTTTGTTTGTTTTTCTTTTTTTGTTGTGTTTTGATTATTTATGGCTTTACTGTATTGTTTTTGATACATGTGTGTGGGCGTCGATAACCATCCAGCGGAGGGTTGGGGAGTCCGTTTTAAACTGGCTTTTGCTTCGCTAATTGTGTGCAAGCCGTGTGATAAAAATTTTTTCCGGCATGTGTGTGTACTTACACATGTAAGCTTAAGTGTTTATTCTCGAGGTGGTTTTGTGGGGATGAATGTATACCAAGCACCCACAAGCCAGGGAAGAAGTAGAAGCAGCCCGATTATTGTGCGTTCTTCATCTACGCTTCTGAGCCCTTATATACCATATGTATATGTATATATGTATGTGTGTAGGTGCACTCGAGTTGGGGATGTGAGGGCGTGGGGGCTCTATTGTTACCATTTCATTTGCATCGCCCACTCCAGAGCGCATCTGTACCACACATTTATCTTTTTGTCCATCTATCCATCATTTTTTTGCTTCTGAACTTAATAATTTGCTATTGTTTCAACGACGATGATGCCTGCATGGGCGTACCCGTTCCGTGCGTCTCTCTGTTTGGTTCTTTGCCTGGCACGCTCTTCTGCACGTCTTTGCACGCCTGCTGTTGTTTGATTCCTTTCTTTTTGCCGCTTTGCCGCTTTTCTT